TCTCTCTCTCTCTCTCTCTCTCTCTCTCTCTCTCTCTCTCTCTCTCTCTCTCTCTCTCTCTCTCTCTCTCTCTTAGCCGGTAGATACTGAGAAGTCAGGGGGCGAGAGGGTGAGGAATAGATGGGGGACTAAGAGGAGGAAGAAGAAGAACTCTCTCTCTCTCTCTCTCTCTCTCTCTCCGATACTAACCTGTAAAGGTGGCGCTTTGGTGCAGGTACATCGAAGACGAAGCTGGAGCTATGGCGCCGCAGGTGAGTCTCCCTGGCCTCCGCCAACCATCTCTCTCTCTCTCTACTAGCGCCCAACACTGAAGACTACTGCTATCGCTACTACTCCTCCAGAGTGCCGCTGCCGAGTCCTGAAGACTACCTCCTGCCCTCTGCACGTGAAGTGCCTGGGAACTGCCTGCAGCCTACAGGGCGGGTCAGCCTTATATAGTGCTGGCCCGTCCGGGAGGCTGCTCGTGCCTATGCCAAAACGTGCCAGACCCTGGGGTTGACGCTCCACAAAATAGGCCATAATGGCCTGAGCTGAAACCCCGGTCTGGTGCCTGAGTTTCAGGGTAGGTTTATCTTGAGAGGGCCTGAAAATGGCCCGTTGTTTTCAGGCTGGAGGTCGAAACGACACAGGGCCTGTAGGCCCTCGTTTCAGGCTTTTAGGCTGAAACGGAACAGGCTCTACTCCTACGGACCCTTAGTCTACCAGGTCGGGCCTCTGCTGGGCCCGTGTGGTACGGAGTATGCCACGTTCAACCTCCTGATGAGTCGGTGAAAGTCTGGCGAAACAGTCTGGTACAGTCATGCTTTTTTTGAGCGTATAGCGAATATAACAACACACACACACACACACACACACACAGGGTTTAGGGTTTTGGGTTTTAGCAAAAATGGACAGTAGGTTAGCCGACTCCAGGGAGAAAGGTTCAGGGACAGCAGAAGATTTTGAAATTCCTAGTGCTCTTCAAATCTAGGTCCTTTTGGGCTTAGGGTTTTTGCAAACGGACATCAAGCGCACCAGCCTGCAGCTCCATCTAGGGCCATTAGGGCTTAGGTTCTTAGCAACTGGACATTAAGTGCGCCAGCCTACAGCTCCAATCTAGGGCCATTCGGGCTTAGGGTTTTCACAAACGGACATTAAGTGCGCCAGCCTACAGCTCCAATCTAACGCCATTAGGGCTTAGGGTTTTAGTAAATGGACATTAAGCGTGTCAGCCCACAGCTCCAATCTAGCGCCATTAAGGTTTGGGGATTTAGCAAACGGACATTAAACTGGCCAGCCTAGAGCTCCAATCGAGGGCCGTTAAGTTTTAGGGTTTTAGCAGACGGACATTAAGTAAGCCCGCCTACAGCTGCGGCACCAAATGGAAATCGGACAGCGAAGTAGCTGAGAGGAGCAAACCTGACAAGGGTCCCACCTAATGTTCACAAACAAGCGAACAGATTCAGCAAGAAATAATAGATCAGCACCCGATGATGTCTAAAGGATGTCAAGGAGGCTAACGTTTGCAGGGGCGAGGGGTGGTTTATCCTTTCCCTAGGGAAGAAATCAATGGACATCCACACGGGCCTCTCAGTCGTAATGGGGCCAGGTGTGCCTGAGTTGGTCTGGTTGTATTTCTAACTTGCCAATGGAATAGGGGAACCAGAGCGATGCTCCCCAGAATGGATATGGAGCCAGGACCGTAAGGTCCTTTGACCAAAAGAAAAAAGAAAGAAAAAAAAAGCTGCCATTTTTATTATATAATAAAAAAGAATGAAGCGGCCGGGAATTCCTGAGGATCTCACTCAACCCGAATCATGTTGGGGCCGTTACCCAGATTGGGCTCGAGCTGGTAACCCTAAACCATGGTGGTGCCCGTTGTACCCTGGGACTCGTTAGTATAGTGTGGTACTCTGAAGGTTGGCTTCCAGATCCTCGTTCATCGTGAGACGATTTTCAGGTGCTTCCACATCGATAGCTTTCTCTCCATCTACCGTCTTCACCCGAATAGAACACCTGGTCATTATCACTGTATTTGGACTGAAAGTTGGGGCAAATGCAGTCATAATGACTGGGCGTTCTATTCGGGTGAAGATGGTAGTTGGACGGTTTTCAGGACTCTGGAGGCAGGCACGTTTGTGAGACGGTAGTCAGGACTCCGAAGGATTTGTTGCACCAGGTTTGCTTTCTCTCGATCTAGTTGGAGAATGGCCGAGGTGTGGGAGGGATGGTTCAAACCAGGGACTCTGATCTTCACTCTCTGCACCGATCAGGAGCTTAGTGATGAGGGGGAGGTCCAATGTAGTATTTCAATTTTAAACCACTACTAGTACACTGCCCCAGCCTTGCAGTCCAAAACTTGTCGGCGTTGTCGCCACAAGAAAACGACGCTGGGACCGCCGTCCATAAATTCAATCAGCGGCCGCGTTTCCGCTTAGCGATTCCAGAATCTGAGGTGTCTGGGCCGCGGCCCAGGTGCCCATGTACTGGTGCATTAAGGAGGCAAGGCAGTAGAAGTGCCCGCCTTCATCGACCATTGGTTTGATGAGAATCAGGGTTGAATCCTCCTGATGAGGCTACGTGCGGGGTAGCAGAAACGCGTAGAGGAAGGGCCGCTAATTGGCGTTGGTTCGGTGGTTGGGTAACTCATCTTTGGCGAGGTTGCTCGTGCACTGGGATATGTCGGACTCTGTGCTTATTGAATATGGTTTTCTCTTCTTTTTTCTTTTTTTTTTGGTTTCCACTTTGGACCATTTGTCGATTTATGCGTTTCATCCTAGCGGAAGGGTCATGCTAATCTTCTCTGTATCGTTCCAATTTTAACGGATGTCCCGAAGGACATTGAACATGGTTGTCAATTTGGTCATCTTGCAATGTTTTTACCTGCGTATGCGTGATGAATGCGGACTAATTGGTGCGTCTTGCTTTTCTTTTTTATCTTGATTTTTTTGTTCTTTTCTTTTTATTCTTTTTAAGTTTTTAAACTTTTTTCATTTTCATATGAAGACTGTTTTTGCCTTTCAGTCTATGCGCATCAAACCTGCATAATGTTGTTGTTGTTGTTGTTGTTGCTTTTTCTTTTTTTTCCCTGGTGCAGAAAGCAATATGAGCGTGGAAGAAGTCCGAATTGCAACGTCAGCCTGCACTGTCCCGGTGACTGAAGCAGTATCGCCATGCATCCACCCTCAGTCTCCAAACCGTTTCAATCGGGAATGCGACGGGAACCTTGTTTTCACCCATCCAGGAACGGCAATTGGAACATGGATTGGTACCAGCAGTGATTCTAGATCTGCAACTGGATTCAGAACCAGAGACGGAACAGGAGCTGGAAGTGGATTTGGGACCGGAGAAGGAACTAGAACTGGAACTGGATTCAGAACCAGTGAAGGAATTGCAACTGGACCTGGTTCTCAAACGAGGACAGGAACAGCAGCTGGAACTGGATTTGGAACCGGAGAAGGACTTGGAACTGGACCTGGTTTCAGAACCAGGGAAGGAATAGGAACTGGAACTAGATTTGGAACCGGAGAAGGAACTGCAACTGGACCTGGTCCTAGAAGTGGGACACAAACAGCAGCTGGAACTGGATTTGGAACCGGAGAAGGACTTGGAAGTGGACCTGGTTTCAGAACCAAGGAAGGAATAGGAACTGGAACTGGGACTAGATTTGGAACCGGAGAAGGGACTGGAACCAGAGCTGGTTTTGAAGCCAGAGAAGGGACAGGAGCTGGAACTGGATTCCCAACTGGAGATGGAAGTGGAACTGGACCTGGAACTGCTTTCGGGAGCAGAGATGGAACAGGTAGTGGACCTGGATTTGGAGACACAGAAGTAATAGCAACGGCACGCGCAGCCAGGGAAGCAACAGGAACAGACGCTGGAAATGGAATGCGAGAAGGAACAGGATTTGCATGTCAACCTTATGCTGACATGATACTGTGTATGACAAGCAGGTTCACAGGCTCCGCCAGTTCGCACAGTGGTTGCTGGGTTCTGGAACACGTACCCTACTGCTCTCATCGCCATGGACGTGATCAAGGCATTGATGCGCCCTTTTTGCGCTTTACTGATATCACAGCTGTCAAGTGGGGATCGACAGAGGATGAATGGGGAGTCGGAGGGCGGTTGACCTCTCTGTGTTCGCAGCAGGATGCTGGTTCAACCGAGGGCACATGTGCTCTGATTCGACTCTCGACTGGGCATCACAAGGCAGATGGTGTCTCCTCCAAGGCTTCCATGTTTGTGCTGGTGATTGCTGTAGCGGCAGCCCAAGCTGTTGCAGCTCCAGCACGTCAGGAAGAGGAGGCTGGATTGAAGCCTGGGGAAGATGAGCGATCAGGAGGGCAGAGCAGTTTTGGAAGGCAGAAAAAGAGGACGGAAACGAATGAGAGAGGACTAGGAAACTTCGTGCACGTTCCTCTCCCCACCGCTAAGCTTGCTTGCCATCCTTATCGCCGGGTGGCGGCGGCGAATCGGGAGGATGACATTGCGGAGAGGGGTGAATCACCGCCACCACTGCTTGGCAGTGCGTGCTCTTGTAAGCCGAGCAGGCATTGTCCGGTAGTCTTGCTGTCTCCCGGAAGTTTCAATCCGCCGACCAATTGGCATTTACGGATGTTTGAGCTCGCACGGGACGAGCTGGTCTCTCAAGGCTATGATGTCCTCGGCGGATATTTGTCGCCAGTGAACGATAGGTACACGAAAAAGGGCCTCGAGTCGGCGGCCCACCGGGCCAACATGTTGGAGTTGGCGGTTGAGGATTCTGACTTCCTTATGGTAGACCATTGGGAGGTCTCGCAACCGACATATCCGAGAACAATCGAGTTGCTTCGGCGTATGGATCGAATTCTAAATGGCCCAGAGAACAGAGGGGCAGAGAGAACTCGAATCGTACTCATATGCGGGGCCGACCTCTTGCAGTCCTTCACGATTCCGGGTGTGTGGATTGAAGACCAGGTTCGAGAGATTTTGTCCAGCTATGGTGTTGTCTGTATCACTCGGGGATCGATCGATGTTCGCAAGATCATCGTGGAGAACGACTTGCTGTACGAATACCGACGTAACATCGTGGTCGTTGACGAAAGGATAAACAATGGCGTCAGCTCCTCGGAGGTCCGCCGAAGCTTATCACATGGCTTGTCCGTGAAGTACCTTGTGCCTGAGCAAGTCCTCCAATACATAAAGAAGAACTGCTTGTACTCCTCATGCTGTTTGAGGTAGGGCTATGCTAGTCTTCCCCCCCTTTTTGTGTATTTGCCCTGACGATGTAGCCATACTGTACATTCCAACCTGCTACTGTCTTCACCCGAATAGAACACCCGGTCATTATACCTGTATTTGGGCCATTTTTCAACCCAGATGCAGCGATAATGGCCGGGTGTTTTATTCTACTGAAGACGGTAGCACCATAGTTGCAGCATATCTGTATTATGCTCGTGTGAGGGCGTACTCGCACCTTTTCTATCTTAAATGCATCTGACCGCATTTAAGTTGGACCTGGATGCATCTGACCGCAATCTGACGGCCATCACGTCCAGTAGCAAGAAAGTCCCAGTGTGAGCACCCCCTGAGACCGATATGAATGCACGACCTAGTGGCAAGCTGGACTTGGGCTTGAACTAGAGTTTGATTCATCTGAATAAGGGYGTTTCGGATAGCGATAATGCACCCCCTTGTCACCTCCAGTAGACTGACTAGAGTGTTTCTCTTTTTTTTCTTTTTTTTTCTTTTCCCTTTTGTAGAATTTTCAAGGTGCCTGGGGAGACCATTGAGCTCAAGCTTGAATGGGACAACAAATTCGCCCATAAAGGGTGATTCGTTCTCTACTGCCAGAAAAGCCTGATATAGTAGCACTAGTTCTTCTCTCTTTCACTTGACCTTATCCTCAGCTGTCTGCAAAGACTTCAACATGCATCTCTCTCTCTCTCTCTCTCTCTCTCTCTCTCTCTCTCTCTCTCTCTCTCTCTCTCTCTCTCACACACACACACACACACACACACACACANTCTCTCTCTCTCTCTCTCTCTCTCTCTCTCTCTCTCTCTCTCTCTCTCTCTCTCTCTCACACACACACACACACACACACACACACACATTCTCTCTCCCGTTTTCTCTCTCTCTCTCTCACATGCACACACAGACATGATACTTTGTGGGCATAGGAGATAAATGTCGTCTTTTGTTACATCGGTTGATTAATCCGCTTTTAGATCATAGGTTGTGCAGTGAAGTTGGAAGCCTGTGAGTGAGAAACAGAAGTTTGGTGGGTGGATTTCATTGGATGAAGAAGATCTGGTGCTGGGTGGTTAACTTTTTATGTAGATATCATTAGGATTTGACAGAGGTTATATGATCAACAGTTTCCCAAGTGAAGAAGAGAACCCAACGATAACAGTTGCGGCCACACTTGTGGGATGTTCCCAGAGTGTGCTTGTGAAGACACTGTAATCTTATTTGCTCTATCTCTCTTGTTTTTTTTCTTTTCTTTTTTCTTTACTTGCTCTATGCATATTCTCTCAGTTGCTGTCTTCTTGAGTCCCAAAGAGAGCGGTTCCCGGGACTCTATGGAGTTCCTAGGAAGTCCAAGAGAGGGGCACTCTTGGGAGCTTCCATAGACTGAAGAGAATCCCAACGAGACCCCCTCTTGGGACTCTCCTTAAAGCCCCAAAGCGAGTTGTCATCTTGAGTCCCAAAAGAGAGCTGCTCTTGGAAATGTTAGGACTATCTTGAGCGCCTTGATTTGAGCACTAAAAAGAGAGCAGCTACCAACAGGCCGAGCACAGTTGGTACACCCATGAACTGTTGACGTGCAGACCTCAGTTCGAATCCAGATGCAGTCCGATTAACGGAATAAAAATTTTAAAATCATTCTGAATTATCTGGGCCCGGTCAGTTCAATTATGATTACCTCAAGCCCGTTGCCCTTTTCTTTCTTTTTCAAAAAAGAAAGGGAAAGGGGAGAAAACAAAAAGACGAAAAGTTTTGAAAAATGTGAGGATTGAGCCCTCAAGAAGGGGCCTTGCCATGATGTACATGTTCTGGGCTAAGGCCCCAGCAAGCCTCGTGCCCGCCCTAAGTGAAGGTGGGCCAGCAAATCAACAAGAGCCCTCTTTGCAAACATATCACGAAGTGGGGTCCATACAGTTGCAGCACGCCAGTTGGTTGGTGTGCACCGAGTATCGGAGCTCTGCAAATGCAGAAATCCCAGGGCCCCGAGTTGGTTAGGCCCTGGGCA